CGATCCCCTGGAAGTCCCATAGGAAGCCTAACCTTAATCCTCAGAGCAACTCCCATGCTTCCTCTGTCCCTCCTAAGTTGCTCACCTTGGTCACTTGAGTTGTCCCCACTCTGGGAGGCCAGGCCTCCACTGGATGGACCCGGGGTCCCCAAATGTACAGACCCACTGTCCTCATGGTCTCTGATCCATGTGTTGTTCTAGGAAACAAGAATCCGATGTCAGTGGGAAAGCTCAGGGAGTCCAGGCTCTGTAGGCAAAACCCGTCCCTGCCTTCCCGGCTGTGTGGTCTTTGGCAGGTCACTTTGCCTCTCTGTGCCACTTTTTTGTTGTTGTTGTTTTGTTTTCGAGACAGGGTTTCCCTGTGTCTTATGGAGGCTGTCCTGGAACTAGCTCTTGTAGACAAGGCTGGTCTCGAACTCACAGAGATCCACTTGCCTCTGCCTCCCGAGTGCTGGGATTAAAGGCGTGCGCCACCAGCGCCCGGCTTCTCTGTGCCACTTTTGACTGGGAAATGGAAGGTCACAGCAGCTCTCCCCTTGGTGTGAGGAGTGTGCGATGGGCTGGTTTGTGGGAAGGTGTGTAATGATGGCCAGGTAGGCTTACACAGTCTACAGAACATCCGTGTCTAACACCCTAAGTTGCCTCTAATTTCAGACCTCACTCTGGAAGCCGGGGATGGAGATGCTCCTGAACCCCGGTGTTCAGAAGGCTGAGGTAGGATTGGCACGAACAGCAAGGCAGCTTGGGTTAGAGTAGGACCCTGCCTCAAGAGAGCAATAAATGAAGTAAACAAAAGAGCAAACGAAACCTTTCTCATCCAGAGGCAGGATACTGGTGCAGGGGGTTTCCTACTCACCCCCAGCAGGGGCCAGGGCTCTGCCTCAGCACCAAACCCATTAACATGCCCCGGAAAAACACATGAATATTAACTAAGTGGAAAGAAATACAGGCTATAAATAGCCTCTCATTAGTTCAGGTTGGATTTTATTTATTTATTTATTTTATTGCCAATGAATTTGCACTCAACTTACAAAAATTTTTTTTTGTTTCCAGATGTGTTATGTTTTGTTCAGTTCTGGGAACAGATCCCAAGGTATTCTGCATGTTAGGCAGGGGCTCTACCACTGAGCCACCCCCAGCCCCTCACTGGGGGATTCTAGGCAGGGGCTCTACCACTGAGCCACGCCCCCAGCCCCTCACTGGGGGATTCTAGGCAGGGGCTCTACCACTGAGCCACGCCCCCAGCCACTATGCCAGATTTGTCCTGAGACTTCCATGTATCATATAGCTGAACATAACCTCTCTGAGTGTGAGTGCTTTTCCCCCAGACCTTCCCAGAAGGCAGCATTGCCCACAGAGAGGGTGTCACTGTGTGTGTATGTTCCGGGGTGCTGCGAAACAAACAGTGATGTTGGGGTCACTGTGGTGGCCAGTATCAGGCTCATGTGGCTGTCACCTTTTTAAAAATTTTTTTTTTTTTTTTTTTTTTTTTCTAGTTTGTGACACAATTCGAGGGTTGTCTATTTTTTAAAACACATTTAAGTATTCAGTGTACACGGGCACGAGTGTGCCACAGCCTGTGTGTGGAGGTCAGAGGACAACCGGAAGGGGTTCATCCTCCCCCCAACCCTCACCCTCGTCATTTGGGCCAGGGGGCTCAAACTCAGGTCCTCGGGCTTTGCATCAAGAGCCGTTGCTCACTGAGTCACCTCACCTGTCACTGGATTGTCTTCTAGGCTATGGGTGTGGTTAGTGTGTATGTGTGCCTATGTGTGCGTGTGACTCTGTGGGAACTGTGTGTGTGTGTGTGTGTGTGTGTGACCTCTGGATGATTGTTCCTTGAGCATAACGGAGGCTGTGTGAAGTCTGATCAGGGACTTCCCTGGCAGTGATATTCAATTCTCTCATGCAAATACCCCGAGCACATTCATGTGACGAGTCTGTGTGTGTGTGCACTTGTGTGTGTATCTGCATGTCTTGAAGGTTTGGTGTCTTGCCCAAATTCTGTCCACCTTATGTACTGAGGCAGGGTCTTTCACTAAACCCAGAGCTCACCCATCCACCTAGTCTAGCCCGCCAGCTCGCTCTGTGTCCTGGTCTCTACCTTCTAAGTGCTGGGATTACAGTCAGGCTTTTAGACTCACCCACCATCTACCTGGGTGCTGTGGATCCAAAAGCAAGTCCTTTGGCTTACACGGCGAGTGCTTTACTTAGTGACTTGTCTTCTCCAGCTCCAACGGAGGGCTTGTGAGGCTCTCCCGTGTGGTGTTGTGTGGGTGTACCCCAGGCTCTGGAGTTGTGAGGCGTGCCTGTCTCTGGGTTGTGCCATTGCTGGATGTGCTGAGAGCATCTGTGTGTGGCCGACACATGGCTTTTTCCAGTTGAGGTGACTTGGGATCCACACAGCTGCTAGGTATGTAACTGTTGTCTGGTGTTCTGAGCGGATGCCACTCTGTTTACCTATACTTCTAAGTCTACGTAGACGAATATGAGGCTGTGTGGATGGTTGCTGGGCAACGTGGCGTGTGTGCGCATGCCTGCAGGCCCCGGTTGTTATGTGGACATAACGAGTTTTTGGCCAGTCTATGTCCATGTGTGACCCTATCTGAGTTTGTCCGGCAGTGTTTAGAGCTGTTGGGCTCCATCAGAATTACCTGTGTGGCAGTGTGAGTGTGTGTATGTGTGTGTGTGTGTGCCGTGGTTATCCTTAGGATGCCAATACAGGAGTGACTGTACGGTCTATGCTACTGTCTCATGGTCGTGGCTTGTCTGAGGATGTACGGCAGGCAGTTCTATGGTCTGTGTTGCTGTGGCATGACTGTGGCTTGTTTCAGGACTTTGGGTGGCTGTAGGGTCTGTGCTGCTGTCTCATGGTTTCGGCTTGTTTCGGGAGGAGGTGGTGCTCATTATAGTCCATTGAGTGGGACTCTCTACACCTGACTTAAGCTGTTGGAGCGTGCGCAGCTGCCCGTGCTGTGGTCCGGCTCTATCTGTGCATTGCTGTGACGTGGGAGTGTGAGTGTCACCCACGCTGCAGGGTAGGTAGGAAACACAACTTCCTGCCGTGCCCACGCCCATCTGCGGTTGCCAGGAAGTGCCTGTTGATGCCCACCTGGTCTGGGAGACTGGGGCAGGAGGCCGCGTAGTCCTCAAGGTCCTCCCTGCAGCCACCGTCCCGATCCTCAATCACCAGGTCTATGGGCATCTTGCCCTTGAGGCAGGTGATGTAGCGGTGACAGAAGTTGTCGCACAGATCGTGGACCTGGGAGGGCAGCGGGGTGCTGGGGGGGGCCACCCGGGGGGCGGAGCCAGGGCTGGGGTGAACAGGGTGAGGGAACATTCTGCTTCCACTCCGGTGGGGAGTAGGGGGAGATGGGGTCATAAAGGGAGAAAGGGCAGGGCAGGTGCAAGAGAGACACCCTCACCTTCTCCAGCTCCAGCAGGTGGAACCGGAGTACCTGGATGGCCTGGACCATCTGCAAACAGAGAGGAGGAAGAAAGGGAAGCAGCTGGGTGTGGAGGTGCACGCACCTGGAGGGGGCTGAGGCAGGAGGATTAGCCCACAAGGACACGGGCAACCCTGAAATATCCTTGAGACGGAACAGCAAAGAGAGGGGTAGGGTTAGGGACACAGAGAAGTCAACTGTGCCAAAGGGGAAAAAAGAGTCGGGCGCAGTCACTCCATATTAGGAAGAGTTTGATGGATGGCTGAGGGAGAAAGAGAAGCGACAGGGAGAGAGTCCATCACAGGGGGAGCTGGCCCAGCCCGCCCTCTGCTCCGGGTCCCACCTCCATCTTGTGAACTACATTTCCCAGAGTCCTTTGCCCTTTAAAGGATGAGGCCCTTAGAAGAACTGGGGTGCAAAGAGAGTGTATTTCTCACTAGCTTCCTCTTCTTCCCTTTTCTCCCTGCCCTTTGCAGATGTGCAGGGAGGTGGTACCACTCTCCCTGGCTCCCTGGTTCATGGAGCTAGAGTTGCAGAGCCAGGATTCAAACTCTGACCACCCGGAGTTCTCCAACTGGGCGACACTCTCGTGTTTGGAACTGTGGTCCAGTGGCTTCCTGTCCTCAGCCCTCAGTCAACCCCAGGAACACAGGTGGGGAAGGACAGGGGCCGGCTGGCTACTGAGGGGACACGGGGAAGGCCTGAGCCTCACCAGGTTGTCCAGCTCCGGGTTGGAAGAGAACAGCGGCCTCTCGGAGCGGATCTGGGAGGGAGAAGAGAGGCCAGGCAAGGGGGGGCGGT